CACGTGATCACTAGCTCCAAGGGGCCTCTCCTATGTGATGTCCTCAATGTCTGAACTGCTCAGAGTGAACAAGTGGTCCAGTCTTGCTGGTTCATCCTCCCTTCTCTCTCTGATAGTGTCTTTTACATGCTGATGCATGAGGTTTTAAAGTACCACATCCATTATCTTGACTCTCCATGTTTCGGAACCCCTGTGTAGCTCCAGGTTTTCCCAATTGATCTCCCTGTGGTTGAAATCGCCCATAACCAGTAACTTTGCTCTGCTCAAGTGAGCTCTTCTTGCCACCTCAGTCAGTGTGTCCATCATTGCTCTGTTCATATTCCTCTCTTGGCCTCCTGCAGTTCTGTGGTGGATTATACATCACTGCAATGACTACCTTATGTTCTCCAGACTGAAGTGTACCTACTATGTAATCCCTTTCTCTACTCTCGTCCATGCCTTCCATTTCCTCAAATCTCCATTGGGTTTTTTTATGAGCAGTGCAACCCCTCTTTCCCCTATGCTCCTTCTATCTTTCCTCAGGATCTGATATGCTGGTGGGAAGGTTGCGTCTGTTACTGACACAGTGAGTTTCGTTTCTGTGACTGCTATGATGTCTAGGGACTTCTCATTGATTCTTTCATGCCACTCCTCATATTTATTCGTTATTCCATCTGCATTTGTGTACCAACTTCTTTTCTAAAACTGTGGTCCTGAGAGAATAATGTGGTTGGGGGAATGGGAGCCCTGGCAGGGGCCTATGGGGGTGTTGGCAGAGTGCCCATATAGGGGGTTGCTGTAGGGGTGGGGTTTGTGGTGTGGGGGTGAGGACAGAGGGATCAGTGTGTGAGTGTTGGTTTAGATTGGTCAGCTGCCTTGGGGTTGTCATGGTTGGAGTCCTTCTGTGGGTGTTTCTGGATGGTGTGTTTGCCCTTCCACCTGGGTCTGGGTTCTTCTACTCATCTTTGTCATTTCCTTCTGTTCCTCCTCTTGTCTTTGTACTCTCTCTTTCAGATTCATCCTTTCCTCTTGTGTTCTATCTTGATCAAGGTACACACTCTGGTACTCTGGTTTGTCTCTCAGTCGTGCTTTCTCCTGCAGGATCATGATTCGAGTTGATTCTGCCTTCAAAATTACTTTGAGAGGCCATTTCCGTCCCCTTGCAAGCTACCCAATTCTCTGAAAATTTGTCACCTGGGTCATGTTGCCCTCACCTATTGCTTTCATGATACTTTCAATCACTTTTTTCTCCTCCTGTTTTCCTTCATCATAGGTTTTTACCTTCAACTTCCTGGAGCCCTTAGACAAAAAACTGATCTCACCCTTTCATCCTCCCACTGTGGCTCCCATTGCATCCTCTGAGGTGTTTTAGTTCCTTCCATTGGAGCATCCCTTCAATCCCTTCCCTGCCTTAGGCCCCTGTGCTCAGTGGTCTGTCTTTCCTGCTCAGCTGTTCCTGGTCCCTGCAGGTGTCTGTTAGTCTTTGCATATATCATAGCTCCTCCATTGTCTTCAGGCCTCTCATTTATTCCTAGTGTGCTCCTCATCTTTGCCTTGGCCCCACGTGGGTCTGATAGGGCCCTTGCATTCAGTATAGTTTCTTTCCTCCCTCCAGGTCCCTTGTCTGTCCCTGATGCAGAATTTCCTGATGTTACGTCTGTACTGTCATTTTTCTCTCTAAGCTGTTTCAAGTTTCTCAGTTCCTCTTCTAAGCACTGTATCTTAGCTTCTGCTATTATAGCTTGTTGCTCCCATTTCCTGCTCTCTACAGCTATCCTCTCCTCCATTTTCCTGCCAAGCTCTTTTAGCTCCCTGCCTCAGTCTTCCTCCCTTTTTGTGAGCTCTGCCTCCTAATCTTCCCTCCCAGGTTCGTCCACCAGATATGTGTGTGTGTGTGGTGTGTTGTGTGTGTGTGTGTGTGTGTGTGTGTGGGGGTGTGTGTGTGTGTGGTGTGTGTGTGTGTGTGGGGAGAGAGAGAGGAGAGAATAAGCTATACAGAAGAGGAAGAGAAATAATGGTGAAGAGGTGGTTGTTGGTAGTGGTGGAGTGAAGTGGTGGTGGTGGTGAGGAAGGGTAAAGCAGTATTAGACTGGGAGTACACTCTGAAGTGTGGCAGTAATCAATACAGGAGAGGGAGATAGCGAGGGAGAGAGGGAGAGTGAGAGAGTGACAGAAAGAGGGAGAAAGAATGAGGGAGAGAGGCAGTGAGAGATAGAGAAAGAAAGAGAAACTGAGACAGAGAAAGGGGGGTTATGTTAGGGGGGGGGGGTTGGTGGCAGCAGTCCCCTGGTCACCCGCTACTCTGCACTGAACCTTCACAATGGGCCTCGGTGGTGGAAGGGAGAGGGGTGGTGGCACTGACAAAAACACAAGAGAACAACAACACTGAGGGGAGAGTACACAAACCTTACACTACTCAACCCACACTACACAACCATAATCACCATCATCACCTGCCTCACTAAATTGCTGAAGGTCTATTACACAATAGTTGAAAGAAGTACGACGTACGTTAAATGATTGCCTCTAACTCGAGGGAAATGGACACGAATATTCATTTAAGACACTTTTAAATACATATATGTATTTGTATTTAAAGCAATCAAGGTCCAAGGAGCGAAACGATTTCAGTAAAGGTGTCCAGAATGAACGCATTTGTGTATTTCCCTCAGAACAGCAGATATCAAGACAGACAAGGTTGTGTATACTTCTGGACTAAGGAAATTATTTGATACTATATCACCAGTGAACGATCTACAAACTAGAAGAACAGACAGGAGTACAAATAAAGGTTCTTAATATAGTAATGAACTGAAGACAGTAAGAGAAAGGCTATCAGAATCGGAAAGGGTGTTAAGTGGAGTCCCCCAAGGTTCAGTACTGGGACCATTACTATTCTTAATATAGGTAAATGCCATGTTATAGAGGATTAAACATACTTAAAGCTAATAGTAAGAACAGGAACGGGAGAGGGCAGGAACCAGGATACAGGAAGGCACTGACAGGCTGAAAGATTGGTCAAACAGGTGATTACTTAAGTTCAACCAAATTATTATAACTAGAAGGAAGCGCTAAACTCATAGGGATCCTACAGCGCCTGGAAAAATGGTTGGTAATCAGATTCCATCCTAGAAAGGGAAAGACATATCCAATTCTCTGCATCAAGAGCCCCTCACTGGCATCAATGAGCCTCCCTTGCGGAAAGTTCGGCCCCAATAGGTGCAAAAAAATTAGGAAAGCAGAGAAAACACTAAAGGAACGGAAATTAATGACCCTAAAGAACAGTGGAGCAGAGGAAGACATGATCACGACATATTAGATAGTTATAGGTCTTGACGCGGAAGCTAGGGACAAACTGTTTGAAAGACGAAGAACAGGGATGAGGCGCCATGGAGGAAAATAAAAAGAATGAGCCACAATGTCAGAATATAGTCCTATCTTAGGTTGGCTAAGAAATGGAACGACCTGATTCATGAAATGGACTTTATAAGTAACATCAACTATGTATTGGTATGATAGGGTCTATGAGGCAAGATATCTGTAGATCCAGTAGTTGAGGCAGAATCAACAACTAGCACAGCCTCCACTACCTGCACAGGTGAAGACAGGACTGTAGCCAGTAAACCTATATGCGTAGTTCCCATAGTTTCCCGCAGAGGGCAAGCCTGGTGGGGATGCCACTTCAGCCTGCCCAGCCCTGCCTCTCTCATTTGGCGCCCAGGCATCCTAGAGTCAACAAGGCGGCCTACTGCTCTCCCCTCTCCCTCGCAGGCATGGCCCCTCAGGGGTTAGGGCACTAACACACTGCCTGTGTGCCCAGATATCGCAAATAAAGAAGCCTCCGAAGCCTTATCATTGAACTCCGCCTGCAACAACGTGACAATTAACCTTTCGTAAACAGAACTGACACAAAACTTCCACCACCTGCACCGCAGGGGTGTGGCGAGGACAAAAACGGTACACTGCATCAACATCCGGGGTCCCAGACTATTCAACATCTTACCAGAAGATATCAGAAACACGGCTGGGACAAGTGTAGAAGCCTTCAAGAGGAAACTGGACAAGTATCTTCACCAGGTGCCAGATCAACCAGGCTGTGATGGATATATGGGGCAGCAGGCCTCCAGCAGCAACAGCTTAGTTGACCAGCCAAGCACCAGATGAGCCTGGCCCATGGCCGGGCTCCAAGAGTAGAGAAACTCTCGAAACTCTTCAAAGGTATAAAGGTATATACCCTGCACAGGTGGAGGCAGGACTGACACAAAACCTCCACCACCTGCACAGGTGGAGGCAGGAGTGACACAAAACTTCCACCACCTGCACAGGTGGAGGCAGGACTGACACAAAACTTCCACCACCTGCAGAGGTGCAGTTGACTCACTGGCTAACAATTTCTCACTCTCTGTTGTATCTACATTATCTACTTCTGTAACGTCACCTCGTACAGTGTTAGCCATCACTGGTTGTTACTCACTGTGGCGTGTTGCTGCTGTCTGCAACATCTCTCTTCTTTTCTTCAACTTCATGCAAAATACACGCGTCCAATTCCATTTATGTCAAGAGAGGATTAATGTTTCCTCCTAAGGCACCTATAATATCCAATAACAGCTTCACCAGAGCTGCATCTCCATCATCATCGTCACAGCTCCCCGTTTCTCTCCTCATCCATTTATCTTAACTCTTTCTTACTCCCCACTTCCCCAACTCTTTCCTTCCTTGGTCTGTTTTCTCAGCCATCTCTCTTCTTCACTCATCTCGTCATTTTCTTTAGCCTGTCTCATTCATCTTTCTCACCTCTTCTTCAACCTCCCAAAATTGAACCATATTTTAGTCGCATCTTCACGTGCTGCTCACTGTTTCCCATAAATTTTCACCTACAATTTACCTCTTCGTCTTTTCTACAGGTACTCCTTCTTACCCTTTCCCTTCCTCTACGTCTGTCCCTTTACTCTCCTTCCCTCTCCTCTCTTCTTCCCTCCCATCCGCCCCTTCCTCTGCTCCCCCTGCGCCAGAGTACTCACCCCTTCTCACGGATGGAGTGGAGGTGTTGGTTTGAGAGACGCCGTGGATCACCCTTGGAGTCTACAGCTACAGCATCAAGCTCGTCGAAGGAGGGCACCACAAATACGTCTCTGAGCACCAGAGGCTTGGCTCGGCCTCCAGCACCTGCCCCTGCAGCGCTGCCTCCACTACCAAGCCCAGCACCTCCATTGCCCACTCCCACAACACCGAAGTTTCCTGCAAGAAAAGCATTTTAATATTTCTTACAAGATGGAATTTCGACCTGCTCTTTCTCTTAACTTTCTTTCTCTTTACTCCCTACTCTTCTTTCTCCTCTCCCCCTTCTCTTCTCACTTACCCGTATTCGCGGCATAGAGCTCGGGCCCTTGGGCCCCGCCTCTTCACCACTTACGGGATGCCTCCCATACTCTATGGTTATGAAATTAACCTTCACAACGTCCTCACAGGAAGGAGGCTCTTGCATTCAACGCTCTTTAATAAGAAGTTAGTTTCAACATACATTAACAGCCATAAGAAAAAGTTAAAATATAATAATATAAATCTTTTAAATCAACATGTGCACAGAAAAATATCGTCACATTAAGATAAAAAATATTAACTGAACTACAAAAGACGCCCCTTAAATTTTCCAGAGGTCCGTACAGAGGAATACTTAATCAGCAAGATTATTATATCATTAAATTTTCAAAATACAACTGTTAAAAATTCTGAGCAAACATGGAATTCGCAGCAAGTTTGTCAACACCAGCGTTTATACTGACGTTTGTGGCCGTAAGATCCCTTGTATCATTATATTAATGCTATATACTACCGACAAGTACGTAAATAAAACAGTTTAGATATTTTTTATTGGCGACGAGACGTTTTGCCTGCGCAACAGCTTCTTCAGCTTGTTGCACAGGAGAAACGTCTCCTCGGCAACAAAGATACCTAAACTGGACATCTGTTTTATTTATCCAAGATTGTAAATTATTTTAAAATCATCAAGATAAAGAGACAGAGGTCAGTGGTGACGGGCGGTTCTATCTGTCCTCAGCTAAAATTACTAACGAATTTTGTAGTATAGTGTGTAACACTATAACATGAAAAAATGAGGTTTTGCTTCTCAAAAAGGGGAAATCAGTAATTGAAAATGAGTTTGAAAAAAGTAATATGCATGTCCGGTATTTGGGGATTGTGAGACGAAACACACTAACAGTAATAAAGGGAAGGCTGTGAGCAATAATAAAAGGGAAGCGGTTTGAAGTAAAGGGAGAAGGATCAAGATATTGGTGTATATTGCTTTCCACACAAGTACGGCAAAGAACTTGCAATCCCAGTCATTAATAACTGGAATAATTTCTATGGTATGCAAGAGACGGTATTCATTTCTCTCTGGCAAGGGTGAAAGCAATAGTTAATTATGTTGAGTGTGACACTGCTGAACTGAACAAGACTGATAAAAAAAGAGAGATATGGGTGTGTGAGGAAGAGAGAGGGAACAAAAAATGTTGGAGTACTAGGGACGTAAGGGGCGAAAATTACCTAAATATTTCTGGAAAACGTTCAAAAACCATGACAGTTCATCATATTGTTACTAAAAGGACAAAGGAAACGGTCAACAAAACGAGAGAATAGAGGAAGGCGAATGACTAACTCCCTGACAAAATACGGTTCAATTTGAAAGCTAGGAACATGGCAGCTGTGAATGGGACACACAAACATATAATTTATTCCACACAGACTGAGTCAACAGGAAAGATGGCGGAGTGGTGATGTATGTTACAGAAAATTTAAACTGTTCCATCAGACCATACCACGGGTGGGATTTGAACCCGCGGTCAGAGAGTCTCAAAACTCCAGACCGTCGCGTTAGCCACTGGACCAGCTAGCCACAATAAGATTCGTCCAACTAGGTATATTTCTACACCATAGGAAGGTTAACATAGGCATCACTGCGACCACAAATGCAAGTTTTTACAGTGGTGCCTATGCTAACCTTCCTATGGTGTAGAAATATACCTAGCTGGGCGAATCTTATTGTGGCTAGCTGGTCCAGTGACTAATGCGACGGTCTGGAGTTTTGAGACTCTCTGACCGCGGGTTCAAATCCCGCCCGTGGTATGGTTTGTTTGCAATCGTGTCATTACGATTTCGTGAGTCATGTTGCATCAGATCAAGATACAAAAGTGTAAGCAACTGATACTGAATCTACTTAGCTACAGTTTCTCGAGGGACGTGGGAAGCTAACCTTGGGTGTGATTTACAGACCTCCAAACTTAGATATGGAACACAGTGAACTTCTATGGGACGAAATTACAAAGGTAACTAGATACTAAAATATTATTTTAATGGAAGATTTTAATTTTAGTTAAATCGACTGAAACTATTTGAGAGGAAATGTAGTCCAGCGACTTGCTAGAAAAGTTTGTGACAGAGCGAACATAAAGAAATAACCTGCTTAACCTGGTTCTGGAAAAAAAAAATAAATAAAAAACGAAAAAATTGACAAATAATCTTGAGGTTCATGAAGAACTTATAGAAAGAGGTCACAAATCAGTTTCAATATCCCTTAATAACTAAAACCAAGTCAAAGTTCACGATTTTCGTGCAGCAGATTTTACGCGGCTAAGAGATTATCTAGGTAGACTGGGCCCTCGGGTAGGGCCCAGTCTACCTAGATGGTTGCCAGTGACTTTTCCAGTGGTGTACAAGCTGCCCAAGTTACATATATTGCAAACAGAGAAATTAGATCCATTAAAATTGACCCTAAATGAATAAACATCTCACAGGATAAAAGAGAGACATTTACACGTGAATCAAAAGAGAAAAAAATCAAGAGAGAAATAAGATTATGAAATTTAAGTTGCAAGGGAATGAAAGTCCAACCCAAAAGTTTTTTTTTTTAAGTATATAGTAATAAGATCAAGTAAAAGATAAGCCCACTTAAAAGTAACTCAAGATTCTTACTGCTAGCGACAAAGAAATTTCTACAACCTTTAACACTTATTTCCTCTCTATTTTTTTATAAAGGAAGATACTTGCTAAATTCCAAAAATCAAGAATAATATAGGTCAGGACGAAAATAGTTATGTAATATCAAAATCCTTAGTGGCATAGTTCTAAGATAAATATACATGTTGAAACCAAGCAAATAACAGACAACTGATGAACTATTTTCAAGGATTATAAAGGAGATTGACAAAGCTCCAGGAAAGCGAAACGTTGCCACAATAAAATGTCGTATTAGTCGTACATGTCATTTTATCTAACAGATTATAAAGATATGTGAGGAGGAACTACAGATGGGTATCGTACTGGTCAGATAAGTGGAAAATGGCAAATATGATACACGTTTACAGAGCAGGAAGTAGGTCGTCTAGTTTAAAATTGTGGACAAAGCAGCCTTATTTTCACCGTGGAAAAATTGAGATTCAATTGCAGAGGCAATACAAAGCCTTCTTGAAAGATATGAATCGATTAATGAGCCTCAGCACAGTTTTAATAAACCATACCACGGGTGGGGATAGAACCCGCGGCCAGAGAGTCTCGAGCGTTGTCTTATGAATTTACTTTATTTCACCAAGGTATTTGAGGCAGAAGTTCATGATAATGAACATGATGCTGTATATACATACACATCGACTTCAGTAAGGCCTTTAACAGTTCCACAAGAAAACTGTTAAAGAAAGTAGCAGCACACGGAATAGGAGAGGAAATTATCTCCTGGATCAAGGTGTGGTTGACCGATAGGCAACAGAGAGTTTGCATAACGGGGAGAAGTGGTGTTCCACAGAGGCCAGTACTGGGCCCCTTCTTGAACACAATATACATAAATGACACAGATGAAGGAATAGGGAGCGACATACGCAAGTTTGCCGATACTAAAATAAGAATCATATAAATTCTGTTGAGAACGCTACAGGATGATCGGGATAGGTTGATGCTGTGGTCGGAAAAGTGGCAGATGCAGTTCAGTATGGACAAATATAAGGTTCTAATCCTGCTAAAAAAAGATAACCAGGGGACTTGTAATTAAATAATGTAGAGCTTTATCAAACTTAATTCAAATAAAGACTTCAGTGTTCTAGTTAGTTATAATCTAAAACCAAGACAACAGTCCATAAGTGCTCTTAAGAAAGCTAATGGAATTCTTGACTTCACTGTAAGAAGCATAAACAGAAGAATTCCTAAGGTTATACTTCAGTTTTATATATCTCCAGATAGGACTCAGATTACGCTGCTCAGTTCTGATCTTCATATTACAGAATGAACATAAATACACTGGAAAATATACAGAGAAGGATAAAGTTAATGTATCAAAAATCTTTCCTACAACAATAGGCTAAGGGCACTGAATTTGTAGTCTCTGGAATATAGGAAAGCACTGGTTTGGCAATAAAGTTGTGAATGAGTGGAACAAACTCCCGAGTAGCATCAATGAAGGGAGAACTTCGGGTAGCATTAAATATAGGTGGGACAGGTGAGAGTTAGACGTGCTTAGCACGGGCCAGTAGGCCTGTTCAGTGCTCCTCCTTTCTTATGTTCTTGGATTTAAAATTAGAGCAACATAAACATATCATCAAATCTGGCCAGGCGTCAAAAACTCTATTTATTCATGTAAGAGATTCTAATCACCAGTGACTGGTTAAAACTAAGAAAAATATTACATGCATAACAGTAGCTAAAGGAACTATAACTGAGATAAGTTGTTGAACACTAATAATGACTAATTTGGATGTCAGTCAGGGACTTCATCAACTAGATGCATTCATAATTAATAAAATGTTATCAAAACAAATCATATTACTACGTGACATGTTACTCTTGACCAGACCTATGTTATAGTGAACAACCACGTCATGTCAATGAGGTGGTGCTATCCACCTCATTTTGTCATGTCAGGGCCTTGTGTGTAGGCTCCTTTCCTCTTGTATAACAGTTTACTTAATTTCCTCCCACCCATCTACGTTAAATCTTACAGATATCTTGATGCAGATGTACCCTTCAGTAAATCCACTATACAAGTGAATAAGTAATGCAAAGATAGGCCAAATGCTCTCAGTGCAAAAGATATAAATCCGATATACTCCTGTTAACCTTGTGGGGCCTAGTTCCTAGGCCTTCTCTGTATCCACATGCTCTTGCGTGCTGGCACACTCCTACCTTGCCTCTGAGAGAATTTTCCCCTCCCATTTGTTGCTAGGCTTGCAACGTTGGACAGCTCCAGACGACGCACGAGAGTACGAAAGAACTCGCGGCAAGCGAGTCGTAAAACTCCAGGCCAGCGTGTAAACCAGTGGGCCAGATGGCTACAGCTGGGAGTAGAGTTGTCGGTGGATAAGTTTATGAAGGACGAAGTAAACCATAGAATTGATGAAGAAGAAAAGGTGGGTGGTGCACTGAGGTATTGGAGGAGACAAAGAACATTATCCACGGAGGTAAAGAAGGGAATGTATGAGAGTACAGGAGGGCCCCACTTATAGAGCAGGTTAGGTTCCAAGCTACTGCTGTCAAGCAAAAATCACTGTAAAGTGAAACAGCCCATTATCACTTTCAAATGCATATAAAAATATCAAATATTAAATGAACAATAGAGCTAGGTCTAAAAAAAATGCATATACAGATCACACATTACTTAACTTTTAAAATATTTTCATCCTTAGCTTATAGTGAGTGGTGAATATATTTAGTGCTGAAAGTCCGAATAAATGAAGAATGAGTATAACTGAAAACGTTGCATTAGCGAAACGCTATAAAGCAAAGCAGTGTAAAGCAGGACTCTCCTGTATAGTGGTACCATCACGGTTATATGGGTGTGAAGCATGAGTTACGAATGTTGCAGCGAGTAGGCTGCAGGAAGTGGAAATGTGTCTAAGGGCAGTGTGTGGTGTGAATATTGTGCAGAGAATTCGTAGTGTGGAAATTAGGAGGAGGTGTGGAGTTACAAAAAGTATTATTCAGAGGGCTGAGGAGGGGCTGTTGTGGTGGTTTGACCATTTAGAGAAGATGGCGTAAAATAAATATGTAGTGGAAGAAAGGAGGGGTAGGCTCATCCTAGAAAAAGATGGAGGGGGTTAAAGAGGTTTTGTTTGCAAGGGGCTTGGACATTCAGCAGACATGTCAGAGCGTGTTAGATAGGAATGGAGACGAATGGTTTTTGGGACTCGACGAGCTGTTGGGGTGTAAGCAGGGTAATATGTTGTGAAGGGGTTCAGGGAAACTAGTTAGCCGGACTAAGTCCTGGAGGTGGGAAGTACAATGCCTGCACTTTAGAAGAGGGGTTTGGGATATTTGCTGTTTAGAGCAACATTTAAACTGTTGCATCTGTGCGCCTCTGAAAAGACTGATAGTGTGAATGATGGTGAAATTGTTTTTTTTTTAGTGGGGGGGGGGTCACCCTGCCTCGGTGGGAAACGGCCAGCATGTTGAAAAAAAATATTACTCACATGCACGCACGAACGAACACACACACACAGGAGCCAGGAACTGTGACTCGACCCCTGCAACCACAACTGAGTACATGCACACCTTAAATTTCACAATGTTGTGAATGTAACAAAAAAGTTAAGAACAGTGTAGGAATGAGCTTGTCTGCCAGAGTGCGAGACACACTACCACTGTGTCAATGACATACAAGAATGTCGACTCCAGAATTCTTACTGAACAAAGTGGATTGTGATAGACCCAGATTAATGAGCCCTAAACACATTCACACTCTTATATTCCGGACATTGTGAGAGGAACGTAGAGGATAATGAACTGTTGTTACCCGGTACCTGCGCCGAGAGGATACACTGTCATTTGTATCACGACGGGCAAGTCAGTCTGAAAACTATGACGAGTTATGAAGACCTACGAGAACTCAGAGGTACGTATAAGGGGCCGTCACGACCTACGAGGGCTTGTAACGGTCTATGAAACCTTGCAAAAATTTACCAAAACACACGAGTACGTACAAGGAGTGCATAACGTAGTTAACATGTGAGGATGCAGGTACCTGAAGAGGAAGTGGAGGTATGGTCGTGGTGAACGGCGACGGGCGGGGGCAGGTGCAGTGGGAAGGTCTTCCAGTGGTAGAGCACATCTTCTGCTACCTGTACAAGAAGCACACTAATTAACATAAACATACACTTGGTCATTATAAAGATATGAGTGTTACAGCACATCCTCAGCTACCTGTACAAGAAGCACACTAACATATCCCTGGTCGTCACAAACATGAGAGTAACACCAACACGCAACAAACAACAGTGTATGTGTACTCGTCCAGTTGTGTTGACTGGGATGACAGACTGTTCCTGACTCCGGCTCGTAATCTGCCTTGACCCACATTCGCTAGCTTCTGGCCTAGCGGGGTATATCGTACCTGTTCTTGAAGCTGTGTATGAATTTTTCACTACTTTATCGTCTAGTTCATTATACTTCACTACCACAATGAAACTAAATAAATACATGCTAACGTCTCTGTAGCCTCTCAGTGTCTTCTTCTTCCCACTCAATTTATCTTAAACTTTTAAAAGTTGTCATATTTTCTCAAGGATCGTCAAAGTAACTTCTTTTAGTCTCTCCTAAAAGCTCATTCGTCTCGATTCTTGAACAAGTTTCGTTGTAACCCCTTGTATCATTTCTAATGTTTTGCAAATACCTGATGAGGTGAGTATTCCACAATGGTGCTGCATACTCGTGTACAGGTTAATGAAGATCGTGAATGTTGTTCTGCAAGTTGCTCCTCACACATGTGCCGCTTTATATCCACATCTACCAGTTTATTTTAGTGTGATGCTGATTCTCGGATCTTCCATCACTGTCTTATAACTGAAGGTTCCCACCACCCCTGGACTGCACACACTATTTTTTTTTTAGCAATTAACTGTCAATCAGAAGGCGTGATCTGATATTGAGCCAGGATCAACGGTGGTCATACATAAACGGATCATCAGCTCAAGAAATACTTCATTATAAGAACTAAAAATAAACGCCAAGCAAAAAATAATTGTATACTGACTGCAAATACAAGTTTGCAAGATTTGCCTGCCCTCTAACATGCTTAATCCTACCAGAGTGCAAAACATTTAACAGGATTCAGTTTCAGACTCGTATGGCAGGACAGTACCTCCTACCCGCATGATTGAAGTCTAAAATCTCGATTAATAAATTTATTCAAAAATTCCTCATGCCACACCAAAATCAATATATCTGCGCGGAGAGAACCCAGTGTATGCCAAAATTAGCCACTCGAGGCTCAAATTAACTATTGTGCAATATAAGTGAGCACTCTACGCCCAGATTGGTCACACTGAACTCCAATTTAGCAGTGAGCTGGCTCAGGGACTCTCTCCACCCTTGTCATCACTAAGCAGAATTTAGCATTATGGAGGGGTGGTGTGGTGGGATGGGTTGTCTGGTAGGGAGGGTTGTTTGGTGGGGAGGGTTGTTTAGTGGGGATGGGGGGGGAATCAAACACGGGAAAATTAGATCGTTCCAAGGACCCTCAATGGAACTAAGTTACTTGACTTTTTGGGTTATCTTAGGTCAGTTACACATAAAGTTACTACGTATGATAACTGTACTTATATGGACCTGTACCTAAATAAATTTACTTCCTTAAATGCACTGACTACCACATGGGTGCAGGTCAGGTGGGGGCAAGTTAGGTCAGATTTGTCAGGAAACAGGACAAATGTTTTCTGACGCGGGTCTTAGTCATATGATGACCCGTCGTTGGAGCTTTTGGTCATCTGACCGAGGCCTTCCGCTGGCTTACCGGTCCACCTCTTTAAAAATTATGGTCATAGTTATAGTCATTTGCGGGGGGGTGAGAGGAGAGACCTCGGGGTAACTCAGTCAAGTTCACAATAAACATATGGTTACCAGGCCTGGTCACAGACCGGGCCGCGGGGGCGTTGACCCCCGGAACTCTCTCCAGGTAAACCATATGCAAGATCTCCACATTTCTGATACAGCCCTCACCCCAGTTAACTTTGAAGCCATCGACAGCATGCCCATGCAATCTACTCGAGGCTCAGACGCTTGGAATTCCATAAATACGAAAAACTGTAAGAAACCACAATCTTGGGCCTTTAGTATTTTATAGAGAAGGAGCCGGGGAACAGGAGTCAACCCACAGTCGTTGAAAACCACTGATATTGCCCCACTTAACAAAGGAGGCAGGAAAGCAAGTGCAAAAAAACTAGACCAATAACCCTCTCATGATCAAAATTTTTGAATGGGTCCAAAGAAGCAAGACTGCCAGTCACATTGAATCACAACAGTTGCACAATCCAGAGCAGACTGGATTTAGGGAAGATCGCTCCTTCCTTTCACAAATGCCAGACCATTACGATGTGGTCTTGGATGCTCTGGAAGAAAACTAAGTGCTGACGTAGTGTACACTGATTTTGTAAAAGCGTTCGACAAGTGCGACCATGGTGTGACTGCGCACACAATATCTGAAGAAAGAAATAACTGCAATGGTGGGCAGCTGGATATTTAGCTTCTTAAATAGAGCCCAGAAACTAGTAATAAACAGAGTCGAAGGCTGTCACAGTGAAAAGTTCTGTGTATCAAGGCATGGTACTCGCCCCGCCTCTGTTTCTTATGCTTATATTCAACACTGACAAGAACATAAATCATGGCACTATAACATCTTTTGCTGATGGCACCAGAATCTCTATGAGAGTGGCATCTATCGAGGACACAGCGAATCTTTAGGCGGACATAAATCAAGTTTTCTAGTGGGCCTCACACAACAATATAATGTTTAACGATGACAACTTTCAATTGCTCCGCTTTGGAAGAATGGAGGAAATAAAAATTATAACGGAGTATAAGACAAACTCAAATCATTCAACAAAGCGAAAGTCCCATGTGCGTAATAATATCGAAAGATATCACATTCAAGGATCGCAATAATCTTGCCATTGCTACCGCAAGGAAAATAATAGGCTCGATAACTTGAACTTTCAAGAAATGTTGGGCCAATGATGATACTCTTTAAGTCATTTATTCTCACCAAGCTAGAATACTGCTGTATACTGACGTCCCCCTTCAAGGCAGGCGAGATTGCCGAGATAGAAAACGTACACTGAACCTTTACCTTTACGTTTGATGAGTTTCGAGTTTTTCTACTCCTGGAGCCCGGCCCTGGGGCAGGCTTGTCCAGTGCTTGCCTGGTCAACCACTGCTACTGCTGCTGGTGGCCCGCTGGCCCATATATCCATCACAGCCTGATTATTCTGACACTTGGTGAAGATACTTATCCAGTTTCCTCTTTAAGAATTTTACAATTGTCCCAGGAGTGTTTCTGACATCTTTTGGAAAGATGTTGAGTAGTCTGGGGCAACACGTCCCTGCTTTTCACTGAGTTTATTTTATACGTCCTCCCATGGCTCTCACCCCAGTATGTTATGGCAGTGTGCAAATTTGTGATTAGACCCTAAAGTACTTTCCATATATCTCTCTCATCCGAACCAGTGAGTATATATTTAGGACTTTGGGGCGTTCCCAGTAATTTAAATACGTTATTGTTGTAAATGATCTCTGCATCTGTTCTGCTCGTGTACATTCGATCAAGCATCTGATCTACTGGGAACGCTTGAAATCATTTCAACTGTATTTCTTGGAACGTAGGCGAGACATACGAGTCTGAAACCTGAACACTAAAAATCACTGAGAGAGAACTCGATGAGTGTCAGAGGTCCCCGACTCTTCAACTCCCTCCTTCCGTGCATACGGGATATAACTAACAAACCCCTGACGGTCTTCAAAAGGAAAATGGGCAAGTTCCATAAATTACTGCCTCACCAGCCGGGCTGTGGTGGTTCCTACGTTGGACTGCGTGCGGCTCGCAGTTAAAGCCTGGTTGATCCTCCAGGAGGCCAGGTCTGGCACCGAATCGCAGGGGCATTAACCCCCGGAAATGTTCTTCAGACATGTTAAAAATAGTTCAGAAACAAACGCACGTAAGTTGTTAGAAAAACAAAGAGTTTAATTTCATTGGGTTTTGAAGAACTATCTCAATTGTGGTTCTATAACCCTCGTGTCTCTGACACATCCACTACGGGTTTCCAAAGTTTTCTACCCTCGCAGCCGGTAAGAAAACTTGTAACCTTTGTCATTGCCAAAGATAAGCTGAGGGCACTAAATCTGCACTCTGGTAAAGCCTGCTGACTTCCTGCTCAACCAAGCTTTTGTTATTAGCAGAAAGGACATTACAGTCTGGTCGATCTGACACATCGCGGAGGTAACCTTTAGGATTGTTATGTCAATATTTGTAATATCTGCTGGTAGTAGGTTGAAGAGTCAAGAACCACGGATGTTGACACAGTGTTCTCTTTATTATACTCATGCCATAAATTGTTAAAAGTTACATTTTTGCATATCTTCCACTTTGTGTTGGTCACGTCATCCACCGGATTCACGATTCCTCAGCGAGGGTGACCTTTATCTGTAACCATAACGCACTATACACTCTGTAACCATAACGCACTATACACTCTGTAACCATAACGCACTATACACTCTGTAACCATAACGCACTATACACTCTGTAACCATAACGCACTATACACTCTGTAACCATAACGCACTATACACTCTGTAACCATAACGCACTATACACTCTGTAACCATAACGCACTATACACTCTGTAACCACAACGCACTATACACTCTGTACTCTACACACTGCTCTCTGCACTCTACACTCAAGAAATCTTATTCTTTTCCTCTTATTATATTATTCACGAAAAATCCTCAGATGCATGCCTGTCCCATGACCTTTCAATAGTGCCACTGTCACACGACACGTTCAATAGCGCCACTGTCACACGACACGTTCAATAGTGTCACTGTCACACGACACGTTCAATAGTGCCACTGTCACACGACACCAGTAGTGTCACTGTCACACGACACGTTCAGTAGTGTCACTGTCACACGACACGTTCAATAGCGCCACTGTCACACGACACGTTCAATAGCGCCACTGTCACACGACACGTTCAGTAGTGCCACTGTCACACGACACGTTCAATAGTGCCACTGTCACACGACACGTTCAATAGTGCCACTGTCACACGACACGTTCAATAGT